ATACCTTTAACTGGAACAACTACAAGCAAAACATCAAATTTATCATCTGAATTTATTCATCGTATTCGTAAAATTCTTGCTCGTGATCGATCATTACCAAATAAAACACTTACATCATTATCATCATCAACAACAAATGTTATTTCTGATTCCGATTTTGAAAGAAATATTTCTAATTTGTTAACACTTGTTTCTGAACAATACATTGAAAAACAAGAAGATGTTCGCGAAGAATTAGAAAATAAACAACGGTTTTTATATGATTTTCAACAAACACAATTAATTGCTAATCAAGAATTATCTCAAAAATTTGAACAAATTCAACAAAAATTTCAAACATTAAATCAACAATATCAACAAGTAAATAAACTTGAAATTACGTAACACTCTTGTTCAGCTTTGTATCATGGATCAAATCACTATATCAGACTTAAAATATTTTTAATCTTATTTTAAAAGAAAACTCAAAGTTTGTACGAAAGAGTCATTTCAACTTAAAATATTGATTATATTTCATTTTGCTTGGTAAAATATGTTCGAACTAAAATCTAACAAAAAATAAGACAACATTTTTTTTCAAAAAAAATATTTCATAATCTAGTTGTTCATCTAATTTGGTATGCTGATTTCGATTAGTTTAATTATTTTATATGAAGAACAACTATTTGAAGGTTCAACTCTCAAAATACTGATCTATTTTTTTTTTACTATTTTATATGAAAGTGACTTTTTCCTTAAACTATAAATTAAACAAAACAAAAACAAGAGCAGAAAAATCTAGACTCTACTTTCTTTTTATTTATTTTATTTTAAAAGTCTTTTTTTTTTTTTTGAAAAACAACAGGAGCTTGCTCGTCGAAAATATCTTTCATCCGAAGTTGATGATCTTTTATCTGTAATTGAGCAACATACACCTGTTGTATCTGATGCAGAAAAATTAATGCATGAACAATTAAAAAGATATCAAATTCAGATAAATTCTCTTCAAGAAAAAATATCTCTTATGCAACAATACATTACAAGACAAGAACCTTTTAATGAAAATCAACAACAGATTGATCAATCACCAATGGAACATATTAGCACATTTGTTGAATATTATAGAAATCAAATTGATCAGATGAAACAACAATTACAAACTATTGATCATAATAAATAAATAAATATCATTTTTTCCTTTTTTGTTTCTTTAATAAAGAATTACATACTTATTTGCAAATAGCAAATACAAGAAAATGTTATAAATATAGATCATTAAAATAGATAATTTGTCATTTTTTAATAAGAATTCAATATTTAAACAATTCAGATTTTACGAAGATTTCTTTTTTTTATTGATTCATTGAAAAAGGCAATGGAACATCAAGTTCATCTAAACAATACATGACAGATTGATAAAATATAGATTTAGTCATTTCAGCTTTATTAGCATATGTCCATCTGGAAGAATTAATAGAATCTATTAAAATAAAATCAACGTGCACAGAATCAAGTTAACAATGAACAAGTTCTTTGACTGACCTTAGAGTGTGCGTGAGCAGAAAACTTCAAATCATAATCACATTCACACTCGTTCCGAAAAAGTAAAATCTTTTTTGTAAGAAAAAAAAGAGAGTTCCCGAAAAGTGGAAACCGTTTCAAAATGTAACAATGCAGAACATGTTCTCTACCATTTTTTCCTATGAACATTTTTCATTGGGATGAGCAGAATTTCATTTCCTATTTTTTTAGTCTATTGAAAGTGAAATATGCCGGGATAGCTGATAAATATCTCATTCGACGGTATTTTTTATATTCTTTTTAAGGTAAGCTAATACTAATACTTCAGTATGACATTTACCTCATTTTTTATAAAATTTGACATCGATGAGAAAAACTATTTCATAATATAGTAAGTTAGGACATATAGACAAAAAATATTGAATTGGAACAACAAGAAATTATATAGAGAATTCAACAACCAAAAAAATGAAGAATTTTAAAAAATAGCAAGATATCAATATGCGTATTTGATCATGATAAACATAGAACTAGAAATATTTGACAATCTCATCATTTTCATATTCAATTTCTTATAGATCTTTGTCAAAAAATTTAATGAAGATTCATTTTGATGCATACTAAATTACATTTTTAAGATTCCTTACGGATCAACAAAAAACCGTCCTATGATCATGCTAACGACGAAACAGACAGTATCTATGGAAATTAAATGTCCTTGATAATTATCTAATATAAAAACTGAAAGTGATTACTTATATAAAATCAAATGATTTACGTTCAGAATATGAACCATTATTCAATAGTGGTAGAGATTGAACACGAGGTTTTCCTCATATGAATTTTTTTTTAATTTTCTGCTCTAATATTTTTCTCTGTCTTGTATTGATATTATAGATGTGAACGGCACAGAAGGATATCACCGCTACAATTAAGTTACTTTATCATTTTATATTGAGTCAAAAATAAGTAAAATATCAGTTTCATTTGCATGACCAGTTGTAGCAATTCACAAAGATTGATATATTTAGGAATAAAAGAAAAATGACTGTTCAAAATGACTTTCATTTTAGTTGTGTTCACAAGAGATTTGTACAAACTGATTGATTGCTCTAGCAGTGACATGTTGACTATTGACAGGCCTCGGTAGAACTAAGAAGCCTGGAAAAGGTTAAGAATCCAAGATTCATTAATTAAAATTTATACTTGTTTTACGAGTTTTCGATCCATAAGGTAATATTTTCGATGTATTCGAATCAAAGAGTTTTGATCAATGAAGTGTTTTCAAATGTAAAAAAAAACTAGTTGAAAAGCTGGCTTCATATGCTATCAGACAGTTACCATTTCATAAAGTGACTTTGCGCTTGAATAAAAAGCCTTTGTTTAAAACAGTTTTATTCTCTACTAGTATTGAAATAAAAATAAAGTTACAAGTCTTTACAGACATGAATAATCTGATAGTAGCTTGAAAGAATAGTCTTCCTTTTGCGTTGCTAAAGAATGTTGCTATTGTATTGCTCTTTGTGTTTTGCTGATAAAGATAACGACTTCTTTCTGTTCTCGTCTTTCCATACTTTTTGTTCAAACGTACGTGTTTATCAGATGAATAATTGCAGTGATAGATGGTCTCTAATGTGCACAACATCGAATTTTTGCATCAGTCATTAATAGAAATAGCTTCGTTTACATCAATTACGTTGCTTATAAAATCATATTATATCTATTGATAAAAGTTTGTATTTTATGTATTCTAATACAATTATATGATGAATCGATTCATTAAATAAATTTTCTTTGTTCATGTCTTCTATCTAACGTGATTATCATACGATTTTGAATTTTACTAATTATATTACAAATGATTTTATTATTTTTAGCGGCTTTCTGATGCATTATTTTACATTTAAAACTCATAATTTCACACATTTTTCTTGGCTCATAAAACACCAAGAAAATTTTCTATGCATATTGAGGTGTATATTTATTGTTATTCTTCTTCGCTCTGTTGTATGAATTACGTATTTTACTGTTGATTCGCTTGACTGTTAACTTAATTGAACTTTTGCTATTAAACATTTTCGATATATTTTGACTATATCTATGAAAAGTTAGTTTTAAAATTGATGACTTCATACTAATCGTTGGAAGGACACTAAAAATTATGTTGAAAGTTAATTGTCACAAAAAAAAATAAATGAAACTACCTTCAAGAACAGTGATTTTGTGTCTCTGTTTATCGATTTTCTTTTTCTATACTTTTTTTTTTTTTTGGACTTGTGTTTAGCTGCGTTTTGTTCAAACCATGCTGAGTACACCAGTAAGTATCACAGCATATCAATAGTAATCTTTTTAGTATCGACAGATATTTTATATGTATCTATTAATATGACCTTAAAAACATGCAGAAAACTAGCAACCACAAATGCAAAAATTCATATTTATCGTTTTCATATGGCAGTTATTGTTTAGGAAAGAGAAAAACCCATTATCGTGTGCATATAACATATGAAAGAAAAGAAAACAAACAACAGTATAACTATGCCATGATTGAACTACATATATCTATGATTTCAGTGACTATATATGCCTCTATGTGAGTTACAAGAACTAATACGTATAAAAATAAATCATGCCAAGCGACTCAGAGTGAATCAATGAGAGTTACTGCAAGTTAGAAAGTTTTCAGATATGTCTGCTGAAATACTCTGAAACCTACGTAGTTCGAAATAGGAAATGAGTAAATGTAAAACTTTGTCTTGCATGAAGAATATCTAACAAAATCCCAAGGGAAAAATCTTTGATGTTTTCGTGTCGGATTCCATACGGATCCAATTAGGACTCTTACTAGTTTACACCTTTTTTTGAACCAGGAATCATTCACGGAAAACATGTGGTTATGAGCACGTGTATACAGGTTCATCTTATGTTAACGAACAGTCAGAGACACTGATACATACTCCTGTTGAACTTTTGTTAAGGTCCTCGTCTGATTAAACAACAAAAATTGACTGAATCCTTGTATCGGAGCCTTGATGCAGTCCTGTTTAAAAACTGATGAAATCTTGAGAGAATCTTCTATGTTATTTCTGTAAGGCTTCTGAAAAGGATCAAGATGGAATTCTTGTAGGATCTTGTATTCGTGAATTAGAAAAAATCCTGAAAAGAGAAATTATTAGGAATTGAGGCAAAGTTCTTGCAATTCAGGAATCTGCCAGATCCTTTCAGGAGTTTTCAAGAAATGAGCAGGATTGAAACTAGGAATAACAGCACCGCACAAGTGATTCAAGTGGTCGACTGAGCAGTTGCTACTTTTCTCAACCTTCATAATAAAAATATCCTGTATTACTTGTACGTTGCATCAAGTGGAATCAATTATTCGAAATATAAAACGTTAAATTCTTGTTTATTTTTCTAAAAAGTTTTCTTTCATCATCAAGTAAAATACAATCACTTTGGTGTCAATAAAACATTTCAAAAATTAAAGAGTGAAGAACAATGACTTATTCATAAAGTTGCTGAAGCCATTTTCTCCGTCTCAGTCCTTCTAATTGATCTGTATTTTCCTTGACTTCTGGATGATCGGATGGTACAGATTTCAATAATTGTTGAACAGATTTCTCAGCACAATCAATCGCATCGTCTAATCGATTCAATTTCGCATAGGCGGTTGATAAATTAAAATAGGAAACTGATATTTTATGATCGTTTTCTGGAAGATATTTAAGTTCTAATTGAAGTGCATTTTGATAAAATGGAAGTGCTTCAGCTGGTTTATCCATTCTCCAATATACAGATGCAATACGATCATAAATCATTGCAATTGATAGTGATTCTCCATTTGGTGTTGATTGTTGAAGAATTTGAAGAGAACGCTTATAATGTAATAATGCTTGATCATATTTTTCTTGATCAAGATAAACAGCTCCAATATTTCCTGAATATGTTGCTATAGCTTCTATATCAGGTGATAAAGATTTTAATTGACATTGAAGAGCTTTTTGATGATAAATAATTGCTTGTTCATGTTGATCTTCTTGATAAAACATACTTCCTATATTATTATATGTTGCTGAAAGTATTTGATTATCTTCTGGAATAAAAGTTAAAAATATTTTTAATGATTGTTCAAATTGAAGACGTGCAGCTCGATAATTATTTTGTCGATTATCAACTGAACCAAGTAGATGATGAATAGCAGCCAATGAAGCTAATAATGTTGAATTATTTTTTAATGAATCATCTTTAAATAATAAACGTGCTAAATAATCAACATGAGAATAATCATTATTTGATAGTAAAAGTTTTCCTAATTGAATTAATACAACAGGACCTTCAATTTCTTCTCGCATATCTTTTGTTAATTCTTTAAATTGCTCATTATCTGTACTAATATTTATTAGATTAATATTCCACCAATGATAATTATCATTACTGTTCTCTTCGATTGATTCAATAGAATAAACATTATCAAAAGGAAGTAAAACTTCTGTTTTTGAATCCAAATAACGAAGTTGTTCAATTTCAATGCATACTGTTGTTTTAATTCGAAATACGATTGTTTCCATTCCATCAATATTTTTAATTAAAGAAGGTTCATTAAGTGTACAATCAAGAAAAGTACCAAATGAAATTAAACCATTTGAATTATGTTCTTGAAATTTTTTAAATTGATCACAGGAATAATGATGAATTCGATAAACAATTGCTGAAAAGTTATTTTCTTTAATTTGATTATTAAGTGCCTGTATAAAATATCTCATTTTATATAAAATATCAATTTCTTCTGTACGTAACGCACGATTAAGCATTTTTCGAATAAAACAATTTCTTGTATACCACCATATTGATTTTTCTATTGTAAAATCTCGTTCAAATTCATCAATTAAAGTTAGTTCAATATGATTATTATTATTATAGTGAAATCGAGAAAAATCAATAAGATCTTTTTTTAAATTACTTTCATTATCTTTTTTGAGAAGAGTTTCTTTTAATAATTGTGAATAACAAAATGATTTATTTGAAGTTTCATTAATTGATATGAATTGAATTGAAAAAAATTGATTTTCTATTGAACATTCTTCTTTTAATTTTTCAAAGATCGATTTAAGATTTAGAAAATTTCCACGAATATTAAAATGATCATTTTTCTCAATAATATTATTTGAAAGAATATAGATTGAATTAAATCGAGATAAATCTTCAATAGATTTTGCTAATAAATGACTAACAATTAAAATAATTCTTTCAAATTTAAGATTATCAATAAAAGAATTTAATTCTTCAATATCATTAAATATTTTAACAAAATTCACAATAGAATAATTAAAATTTAATTCATCTTTAATACCAAGAAGAATAACAACAAAATCTTCTACATTTCCTTCATATCGTGATGGTAATGGTTCACGTTGTTCCATTCTACGAAAACCTTTAATAAATATGAAATCAAATAAATTTTAACATAAACAAACAACGAACCATTTTGAAGAATAGATAATAATGATTGAAAAAAATCTCCACTACTATCATTATCATTTGTTGTTTGTGTTGTTAGTTTTCGATGAAATAGACGTACAATATTATCTTCATTTTCTAATTTTGATGAATCTCAAATATAAAACAAAAGAAAAATAAAAGTGAATTTACCATCGGATTTTTTGTTATCATGTTGTTGTTGACTATTTTCTTGTTCAGATGATGAACTTTCTTTTTTTTCTATTAATGACGATGATGATGATGAAATTCTCTTAGTTTTCCTAATTGAACTTTCTAGAAATTATTCTTAGAAAAAAAAAGAATTCAACAATTTATTCATATACCATAATGATTTTTATTATGATCAGTTGTCTAAAGTTTTCAGTAAAATTTTTATGAACTTCAATAATAGAAATAAAAATTTACTTTAGTTGATTTTCTATGAACATTATCTAATTGAAAATGATTATTTTCACTTTTCACTTGTTTTGGTTTGTCATCATTACTTGTTCTTTCTTCCGATGTTGTCTCTTGTCTAGTTTTTATAGATCGATGATTAGACAAAACATTGTTGATTTGAAATGAATTCAATGGAATATTCTTAGAATAACAAATTTCTTTAGAATAAAATAAAACTATAATGAATTTTTCGAACTTCTTGATGTACTTTTTGTTGACGTCGTTGACATCTAATTTATTTTAAATATAAGATTATTAAATATTAAAAAAGTATATAATCACTTTTGACATGGAATTGATTTTTCTACATGTTGAATAATAAATGATTGACCAAGATAAAATCCTCCTTGATGATATTTATATTCACAACAGGTCAATAAATGAACTTCGATAACTCCATTGATATAACATTTTATATCGAAAGGACATTCCGCAAGATGTTGAGATTTAAATGAAAATGTGTCTTATAAAAATATAGAAGTAATAATCAACGAAAAGACACTTCAAAACAAAGGCTAAATTACCATTGTTTTTCAAATAACCTTTATAAACAATAATTGTTTGATCATTATCATTTTGTTTTTGTTTTATTACAATTTGATCATTTTCAGATGATGATAATGAATTATTTCTATAGATCATCATTACTTCACATGCTCGATAAACATCAAGCGGAGGATGATATAATCGATTTCTCTAAATTTTTTATCAAAATAGATACTCAGTTAAATTTTTCATAAGATTCTATAAAATATAATCTTTTAACTACGATCGAATATATGTAAACGAGAAGTTCTTCTTCTGGATTATAGAGAATAGAACTCGATGAATTAAATACAAATTTTCCTATTAAATCTTACTCGTGAAGAAATTAAATTTTGATCTGTATATATTTGAGCCTTTCGTGAATGATGATATGTCGAATCGACTATCTATATTGATTATTAATAATTAATAAAAATACATTTGATAAAGAATAACATACTTCATCATCAGATGACATATCACTATATCGAGACATCATATCTTTAAACAACTTTCGACATCGTTCAGTGTTAAATTTTCTATAAAATAATAACCATTTACTAAAAAATTTACTTGTATTTTTACCTGTTCATATTTTCTTCATTTATAGAATCTCTTTTTGTTCTTCGATATTTGTAATTTGCACGTGGAAGTAAAATTTCATCATGATTCATCTTATCAAACAAATAAATAACACATATCGTTTTATTATCTCAAAAATATCAACGATAAAAAAATTTATTTTATTTACATACTAAACCAGCTTGTCGCAAATAATTATCAGTAAAGAAATCTCTATAAAGCAATGTCCGCAATTTTAGATTGATAGAATCATCGGATGTTCTAGATTTTATAGATCTATATACTATTATATTGAATTAAAAAAGGTAAAAGAATACAAACCTTGATGATATTGAGGGTGAGTGTCGAAAAGACATAGTCGTTAAGTAGTGGCGAAGAAAAAAATGTTGTTTGGTAAAAAAAAAACCGTGTATGGTTATGTGTGTGTTGATGTTGAATGAAGTGAAGAAAGGGAAGAAAAATAAAAACAAGCCTGCACACCTTTATTATTCTTTTTATGAGAGTGCCAACTTAAGATTTTGCAGAATGAATAATAACAACATAAACTGATTGATTAGATTTTATCATATACAATAATAAGAAAAAAACGAAGATTCTTCAATAAGAGTTAAAATATGAAGTTCTTTTTTAGATAGAAGAAATAAAATAGGCAAATAATGATATGTGAAATTGTGTCACATCGATGACTAATACTATAATTCAAATTCTATTTTGACTATCAATGCATTGTTGATAAAATAAATATTATTTCGAGATGTTAATCAATACAGTAGCGAAGAAAAACATTAATTATTTAATTCATCATAAAATATTATGATGAATCAAATAGCACCGTTGATTATATTTTTCAAAAAAGTCATTCAATATTTATTGTTCTTATTTTCATAAAGTGATGATTAAAATAAGTAAGAAACAACTGATATTTTCATTTCCAAGGCTAATACTTAAATATTTATAATAGACCCAATAACGTGTTTATTTGATGTTAAATATAGAATTTCTCTTCGTCATCAATTCTGCATATAAATAATGCCTTTCGTGCTCGATTAGTCAATCAAATGCATCATGCTTTCTCTTCTTACTTACCATAATATTTCAAGAGGCATTTTAGGTGTTTTTAATGCAACAATAAATAGTGTACAGATTGATTCATTATTCATGAGGATAACAATAACTTTTTTATCATGTTGACCAAATAAATATCGAATGTATCAATCGTCGATGATGATGACTTGTTATTAGTAAGAGAAATCACAGATTGTGTTTGTGAGAAAATTGAACTGTACATATATTGTATATATAATTCGAGTAATATTTGTAGCATACTTATAGATAATAATATTTAATCTAATGATGTTTTTTGATACTACTTCAACCGGTTGACAATCCCCTGTTTGGATATTCATTGTCTATTAATATATTAAATTCTCTTTATAAGTCATATAGAATTATAAAACAAAAAAAATGTTTTGCCAATAAAAATAAATGCTATATCTATCAGAGATATTTTAAAGTCTCTTCTCTTCTCATTTATTTACTATTATTCAGATCAATAATTAATATAAAATCATAGTATTTTTATTAATACTTAAAATAATAATCGTTTTAGAATTTATGTTTTCATCTGACATATTGAGATATTTTTCTTGTAATGAAAAGAAAATATATTCATTGAAAATTATTCAATGACTAACAATATCTGTTTACGCTTGAAAATTTCCAAAGTATCAAATTCAGATTTCAAAATATTCGTCTGACATTAATATTACAAATAATTCTGTCATTCGCCTTAATCCTAATTATAATTATATTCATTTTAATGATAGAACACCTGAATAAATTCGTACAAGAAACATTTCCTAAGTATATTTATCAGGTCTACAGATCATTAACAAATCGTTTAATCGAAGCTGACTAGTTTCGTTACATCGCTTTACTTGTGAAATGTGGTTTCTATACGGATATGGATACTATTTGTATTCAATCAATTGATACTTGTTATATTTCAATGCAAACGGCAGGATTGTCATTTGAACTCAGCTGATACTAGTCTATGACAAATTTAGGAACACGATGATATTCGACCAATACAATGTACTCAACGGACAATTTGAGGAGTTTAGAGAAATCGAAGCTAGCTGGAGAGGATATTTGTATGTTACCAATAACGACATATTCACCATGATTGAAAGAGAAATAGGTTCAAAATCTACAATTAATATAGCAGCGAAATTTGAATATGCATTCGCTCATACTTAAAAGGATTCGAACAGAAAACAACCCATTCAATGAAAACGTCTACCTCATTAAGAACCATATTGGCTAATCTTCTACATCAATGCTCGTTTCATTTTGACACTCATATTTGAAAGTGTGTCGATCGATATAATTCTTACTTAACACTTTTATTGTTGTTAAATTGTATTACAATGTTAGATCTGTAATAAGTCGTTGTTTATAATAATTATTTGTAACACTAATATAAACTCTCTTCATATAAAACAGGTTTAATAACCATATCTAATCTGTAGGATTCTATTGGTTAGTTAGATCGAAAAATGTACTTTTGATACATCAATCAATTTATAATAGTTAGTATCAATCTTAATTTCAGTAAGTTCTTGAAGTAATTGAGGCATTTCCTTTGTTTTTTGTTCAATTTGACTTGTAATCTATTTTGTCTCAATCAATTTGCGACAGGATTCCTGTTGAAAAATTGTCATCACAAAAGAAAGATTTTTTTAATTTTTACTTGCATGTTTATATTGTAGGAGTTTGATTTTTTTTTAAATAAAATTTTGTAATGAAGATGTATTGCAGCACATAAAAGAAATAGTCATAGATTAAGACAGAGCAAAATTTTCATCCACTTCAAATTCTCATAGAAATATTTTATTTAACAACAGAAAAAGGTTTTTTTTCGGTCGAAATCAACCAGTGCCATTGTCTTTTTTTAATTATATTGACTTTGATAATTTTGGCATTGGATAAATGATTCTACTATTTCAATAGTTCAATCTCATTTGTTTAGTGGATATTCTCCATTATCTATTTTTCTCACAATGCTAATATTTCATTTGTAAATTAAACAGTAGCATCTCTTATTGGAAATAAATATAAAACATGACAAGATTCTTTGATTGAATTTTGAAGATTTTATTTAAAAAACGAAATTTTCATCAAAATTGATCATTTATATTTAACTTTTAAATATAAATGGTCTTATTTATAATTTGTGTTTATCTTTTTTCAGTATTAATCATATTTCGAATAGAATGTTAAGAGAGTTTGGGTATTTGTTGTGATGATCTTGTACTTTGATTTGAATTCCAAGTAATTGTTGTTCGATGACAAAAAAGAAATCTTCGAAAAATTTTAGCAAAACTTTGTCGAAATTTTGAACAAAAAATAGCATAAACAATTGGATTTGATGCTGAACTAATTGTCATTAAAAGCATTGTAAAAGCAATAAAATAAGGTGTTTGAATAAATTGTGGTATAGATTTAATTGCATTTGTTTCAAATAAAATAAAAACAAGAACTTGAGGACTAAATGATATAAAATAAATAAGAACAACAACACTCAACATTTTAATAACACTTCGACGAGATTTTAATGCTTTATAAGTTACATTCGATTGATAATAATCATTTGTTTCTTGTTGATGTTGTAAATTTAATAATGGAGAATTATTATTAATAGGAAGATATTTTAAAAACAATGGATTACTTTGTCGACCATTATTATTATGACGAGTATTTAACGAATTTACAAATGAATCAGATATTCTTATTTTACTAACCATTCTTTTATAATTATCAATATAATCATCTTCATAATAAATATCATCCTAGAGAAAAAACAAAGAAGAAGAAACTTTGTATTTATATTGATTGATTATTCAAAATCTAACCTGTTTTCGATGAATATTCTGTTTTTTATTTAAATTAAAAGAATGATGAAGTGTATGATCAACATTAGATAATTTCTTAGCTATTCTTATATAACAATATAATTGTAATAAAAGTGGAATAAAATAAAAAATAGTTGATTCAATTGATTTATGAATAATATAATTTATTTTATTTTGTAAAATATTTTCTTTTTCATATTGAAGAAGACAAGAACGACGTGATGAAGATATTGATATAACATGTAAATAAATAAGATTTGGTGATACACATATTAATGAAAAAAACCAAACAAAAAATGTTATTCGTGTAACATGTTTTTTTTCATTTAAAAATTTTGAACGTAATGGATAAACAATACCAATAAATCTTTCAATAGTAACAGCACACATTGTTAATACAGATGCATATTGAGCTAAAACAAGTATTGATCGAATTAATTTACAAGATAATTCATTTAAAATCCAATTTCCATTTGTTGATGATACAAATTGAATTATATCAGGAATATTAAATAATAATATTATTAAATCACAACAAGCAACATGAACAATAAGACGATTTGTTAATGATCGTCTCATATGAGAATCAACTTGAACTGATATTATTACTAATAAATTACCAAATATACCAACTATGGCTATTAAAATAAATAAACATGTTAACACATAATTTACATTTATATTGATTGAAAGATGAACTTCGTTTTGACTTTTATTCATTATTACATTTTTTTTAATTAGTTATCTAAAATATATTTATTTTATACTAATCTTTCATTTTAGAACAAAATAAGTTTATTTGTTAAAATAAAAATTACATTGCACAACAGTTGTAAACTGTGTACTATGTTGAATTCGACTGAACTTTTTTTTCCTCGTTCATTGATAGATGATTTTATTGAGCTTGATCAGCTGGTTATAAATATTTAGTGTCTATTTCAATTTGACCAACGTTTAGATGAAAGTACTCAACTTCTTTTTTGTCCACAGAAATTATCAAATTTAAATTATGTTAGTTTTTCAAATTTTAGATAAATGTTTTATTTTTCTTTAGCGTCGATAACTGCATAGGAAAATGTTGTTTTTTTTACATTTAAAATTAATAAGGTTAGAAGAACTTCTGACTATAGTTGTAAACTTATCTATGTTTTTGTAACAAGAGATAGAAGCAAGTGTCT